TGTGTGTGTGCCTATGTATATTTGGGGACTATTCCCTTCATGTGAAGTTATTACACGAGGGAAACGGCCAACAAATCGACAACTACCAGCACCACGCACATACACTGAGTTAAGGTGCTATTCCGCGTACGTTTATCACTGTATGGAAAACACAGAGGACAAGGCACACAAGATAGTTATACTACGCAACCGGTACCATTAGACTACCATTAGAAAAAACCTTTAGAGAACGACACTTTGTTGACGTACACTGGACAAATATACGCCACCATTTGTGATCACTGATATCTCTAATCTCTCCCCAGCCTACCAGTTACCAGCACGAAGATCTCGTCGTCGTGCTTGCTTATTGTAGAGAAGTGGTTGTTCCTGAAGAATATAGCTGGGGGGAAAGCAGTACAAGTCAAATGCCATATCAGTGTAGCACACCACCACGCACAACTGTACTCGCTAAACGCCGCTAGGAATTGGCACCCAACGATACAATCGCAGTGTACATGCAACTACATACTCATATATGTGTTTTGTTGTGATTCAAAGTTCATCATTCGCGTAAAGATGCACTATCGTGAACACGTATACTAGCAACGAATCGGTATGTATTCGTGTGTATGCATAAACAATGACGGTCGCTGGTATCGTAATCCAGTATGGGCAAGTAGTAGCACTAGCTCAGGAGTAAGTCGCTTATATGCCATTCAGACGCAATATACACTACATTCTACGCTGAAGTGTATTTGACCTGAGTTCCCTGCGCTCTTATACAACCACAACGCTTGGCTCACTCGTCACAACGCAGCGAAGGCGTGTGGAGGTGTGCACAAGGCAAAGCATATGTAAATGGAGAAAGCACATGATGGCTCTACTAGGCACTAGGGGCGAGAGATGGTCACAACACCTCAGCCTCTACAGCACAGTGTGGGAAGTACACAGAATGTTTCACGAGTGAGCCATTCACAAGAGATTGGTGTGCAGGCTAAGTGGGTGGCGCATTGTTGATGCTCTCACACGTACCCAAATCACCATTCCTCAGTCGACTTCTGAGCTGTTGTATGCCGTAAAGGGTCAGTTGGCTGGCCGTTGCCTCCAGAAAATTGGCTATCGTCATCCCTGCCACGTAGCACAACACAGTAACGGTTAAAAACAGCATGACATCGAGAAATAACACAACACCCCCACGAATGGCTGCAGAAGACCTGGCTACTGGCATTCAATACTGTACGACAAACAATTCACGTGTCCAAAGACTTGGTACCTGTACCAGAGTACATCTACTGAATATCAAACAATATCTGGCTCAATCGGATACTACAGCCCTCATGAAACACGCGCACTGATCACACAAAGAAATACCTGTTTGTACTGTTGTGTTATCCTTCAGATTCTCGAAGCTCGTCGTTGTGCCTGATTCAGTCACTTCGTGGTATGCCACGACCTGTGTGTAACCAGTGAATGCAATCATACGGATTCTCTGAGTTTGGCACACACTGTTCCTAAGTAGTATGTATCGGTTGAACGTCCAAACTTAAGATGTGTACATGGGACAGGATCGCATGTGCGAAGAAAAGAATTAGAGCAAACAATATGCATCGGATATATCAAGTGTGTGGTTTCGTATTGTAGTGCAATTATCACATGCAATTATCACAATGATTTTTTCAGCTAATTGCTGCATGATATCTACAGGTATATCAGAGTAAGCGTATCAAAGCCTTAATATCCATGCACCAATTATACTTCCGTCCATGAACTTTTACACAAACACATACTCACCCAATTTTGGTGTATTCAACCACTCATCAAAAAGCCACAATTCAGTCATTATATTTGGAACAACAACTTGTCCACAGCATCGTGATTGACTTTATATAAGCTACACTGCGCGCACCCATAGAGGTTTATGCGGAAGTTACACTCTCACACATGCCTGTATTCGAGTTTAAGCGCACTTACACGCGTTGGAAATGAATATATAAATATGGCTGTAACTGTAAACAGACATGTCCTGCGCTTCATATGCATATAGCAAGTGTAGATATTAGCAAGATACTGGTGCACAGTGCCGATCCAAAGATTGATTTGCTAAGGCAACGTCAATCATCGCAAGCATCCACGCCTCAATAGAAACTTGGACATACACATATCCGGAGTTGGATTTG